GCGGGTTTTACACATTTCTTAACATGTGACCTAAATTGGCCTGAAACGCAATTCTCCATTTCTTTCGGCTGCGTGACGTGTTCTATGAACGTTCCCTTATCTATAAATGAAGTAAAGGAAGACCGAGGCTCATTAATTAGTCCACCATTTTTCCCTCGTCGCCAGGCTGTCTTAATTTTTGGCTGTTTTGTATGTAAAAGCGAAGTCAGTCCAACTTTCACTGGGGGACGAGCTGCTGCCCAGGTCTTTCTCTTGAGTTTGTTCCAGTGTTTTTTGAGCTTCTCATTGCTTAAATTGTTTAGGAAATTGTATAATTTTATAAGAAAATTGAACCTGTAACGTGTCCTTAGTATCTAAACGAAACAATAACGTTCAAACATACACAGATCAGATAACTCGATTTATTACCAGCTCAGTCTATATTTTAGACTTCAGTCCTTAAACTCATCTCCCATCCAATAACTTTCTCTTTCTTTCAATTATGTTGGCCCCACTGGTTCCATTCCTTCTTTTTCTCACTTTTCCCATTGTACAAACGACTTCGTTAAGCATTCCGAAAAATGGAATCGGCATTATTTCTAAGCTGCTCCAAAATCAAGTATCAGTCCACACCTATGGTTTAAAAACTGTCTGGCTGTACATCGGAAATGACAGGAACTTAAACACACCATCGAAAGCATCGTATTCCATGAAGGAATTTCTCCCAGCTCTGATCCAAGAAAGTGACTGCTTTCTCTTTCCCGTCATTATGGGAAACTTTGGGAAAGAAATCCGCTCGAAACACCGAAATTTCCACTCTTTCATATTCCTCGCAGTGTTGAATGCCCCCCAAGAAATGGAAGAATTTATCCAAACGAACGGGAACAATCGTAGGGATCGTTTCATATTTATTGGAACTGAGCCAAAACTCCCACAATTCTTCAGAAGAAACGTTATCAAGGGTTTAAAAGACAAGGTCGGATTAACCATCCCACCTCGTCTCACTTTGCCTCATCATCTCTTACTTGACCCCCTCATTCATAGCCCTACGGGCGAAATGGTGAATATCCCTGTTCCCTTAAAAGATGTGGATTTCTCCCAAATCATAAAAATTGGACCGCTCATGTGCCGAAATTTTAGGGGGCGCCATCTCAAAATAACCGGAAGTCTGTTACCCACCTGGCTGTATCGTGTTTCGGATCCCGAATCGCCCCAAGGTTTACAACATGACGGCTCAAATTACCGAATCTTTGTCGAAGCCGCGGCCAAGTTCAACTTCACGTTTGACCTCGACGCTCCTCCCGGCAAAGAGTACGCGATGCGGTATCCGAACGGAACGTGGGGCGGGCAGACGGGCGACCTCTTCTACACCGAGAGAGGCTACACGAATTCCATTTATTTAGGACAGATCTACGGGCTGAATGTTATTGTCGACTATGCCTCAACAATTGATCCCGCACATTTAATGTTTTTCTCGGGACATGCGAAAATGGAGTCTAATTCGGAAAGTTTCCTCCTCCCGTATCAGAGGGACGTTTGGATCGGCGTTATCGGGGTGTACTTCGCCATAAGTACGACCGTGTTTTGTCTCCTCGTTCCGAAACCGTGGACTGAGAATGACGAAGGTACATTTCTATCTAAACAATGCCATTGACTTTACTTCATTTGACTGATTATGGAAATGAATAAGTATGAATTCCTATTCGAAATGATTGAAGGATTATATCATTTCGGACGAGTGACCGTAAATAAATCGATAGTATCTTCTTTAATTTTCATTCAAAGGCTTAGCGCATGGAGGATGTGAAACTGAGTCCAATGAAATGAATTTGAAAACAATTTGAATGAAAACAATTTTTTGAACAGGTATCATCTTCACCTGGCGAGATGCAGCCTTCCACGCGATCACTGTCCCATATTTGGTCGCAATGGAGCAAGCCCTCTCAAAGGTCCCACTTTCCGTCCGAGGAATCGTTGGTCTCTGGCTAATTTTAACGATCGTAACGGGAACTGGATACCGATGCAATTTAGCCTCCTTCCTCAGCGTCCCTAAGATCCTCTCGGTCCCAAGAACGTTTGCCGAATTACATGCCGATCCCGAGTATCAAATCATCCTGAATAACGTTGGCGTCCCGGAAGTCCTATTTTTCCAGGAGAATGAGAACCCGGTCATTCAGGCGATTACGAAAAGGCTGATTTACATCCCGAATACGGAGGAGTGTGCCATGAAAGCCTTCCTTAACAGGAAGACGACTTGCACCCACTCGGGTGGAACAAAATCGTCCGTTCGGCGGCGTATGGAGCACTGACGATAAACACGAGGTTGGAACCTTTCATGGCTTCGACAGATGTGGCCATGCTGGTCCCGATGAGTGTGGCTTTTGTCAAGGATTCCATACTGGTGGATGCTTTTATGCCGGTGACGGGAATAATCTATGCGACCGGAATTCACGACAAGGTAGGCGGCAGATTAATGCCAACCTGTGTGGGGGGACTTCCATATATTACGTCATCAAAAAATGCAGATTTGTAGACAATCTACCCTATTCTGCTCATGGAAAGCCTATCACGAGGAATACTAACGATTTAAAATCGCCAAAACCCACTTTTTTGCCGACGTAATATATGGACGCTCCCACGTCGCAATTTTTTTTATGGTTAAACATTTTGATATTTGAAATTAATTGATTGCACTTATCTTTCTTATACAGTGGACAGCCGAAGCTTTATTCCATTTTAAGCTGAAAGGAAAGGCAAATGTTGCCAATATGAATAAAACGGATCATCTCTACAAAGCGTTGAAAGGGTTTGAAAATTCTATCGCGTCCCTCAGTTCGCTTAAACCGTTTGATCTGGGAAATGTCAAAATTCCCTTTGTTGCACTGATTTTTGGATTGTTCGTCTCCTTTTTGGCGTTCTTGGCGGAACTGTCCTATTCTCGATGGTCAAAAAGGATTAAAAAAGCGAAAGGAATTGCAAACGTGCCCGCAAAGAAGGAGGAGGCTGTGCGAATATTTGTGGAAAGTCAGTTATGAGATTTACCTACGTAAATAAATTTGCACTAAATTTTCACATTTGTTTTCACGACTGACAGTCTGGTTCAAGTGCCGGAGAATTGGAACTTAGTACCTGGGAAACGTCACCCAAAAGTTCCGATTCCCTGGTCTTTTTAGTTATGCAAGTTACAGGGAAACGTATCCCACTTGTCGCAGGATTTAACGGGTGTCGATTCCCCGGTACCCTATTCGACAAAAGTTACGATTCCCCGGAACCCAAGATTTTTCTTCCATTTTTCATAAATTGGATAAAAATCTGAAGAAAATTTGAATTATCTCAAATTAACCTCCCACAAATGAAGAACAATGGATAAAAAAATTAGAATTTTTTATAGTTACAAAGGTCCCTAAAATCACAAATATCTGACAAATTTGAGGAGCGGCAAGCTCAAAAAGGTACGGGGAATCGTCACCCAACAATTATTTTTAGGGAAAAATGCAATTATTTTTAAGGAAAAATAATTGTAACATAATAATAACGTAATAATTATAACAATAACTGTAAAATAATTGTATTTTTCCCTAAAAATAATTGTTGGGTGACGATTCCCCGTACCTTTTTGAGCTTGCCGCTCCTCAAATTTGTCAGATATTTGTGATTTTAGGGACCTTTGTAACTATAAAAAATTCTAATTTTTTTATCCATTGTTCTTCATTTGTGGGAGGTTAATTTGAGATAATTCAAATTTTCTTCAGATTTTTATCCAATTTATGAAAAATGGAAGAAAAATCTTGGGTTCCGGGGAATCGTAACTTTTGTCGAATAGGGTACCGGGGAATCGACACCCGCTAAATCCTGCGACAAGTGGGATCCGTTTCCCTGTAACTTGCATAACTAAAAAGACCAGGGAATCGGAACTTTTGGGTGACGTTTCCCAGGTGCTAAGTTCCAGTTCCCCGGCACTTGAACCAGACTGACTGAAGTATGTAGATACATGTCACATTTTAGCGCGCTGAATGTTTAAAATTGTTTTAGTGAATTATTGCAAATTTAATTATTAAGATATTCTAATGGATTACTGATGGTTGTGACGGAGCCCCCTTTCTCAAAAATATTTGCACAGGGTGTCCGAATAAATATAGAAGTAAACATGTGAACCGCAGGAAAAGCACTTAAAAGTAGATCCTGTAAATTATTAGTGGAGAGCTGAGCTGAATTTGAATTTTCACAATACAACAAAAAATCATAATGGTATGCCAATCGTCTAATTTTAAAAATTCGAGTTGACAATGATTCCAAAGATTCCCATGTTCCAGCTTCGCTGAGAAGTCAAATGGACAAACTTCCAGAAGCCAAAATATTGGCTTATTGCCGCCTGAGTTAGGTGGCGCACGTAACAAATATGCAGGATTCGAATTTATAGTAAGGTTTTCTTCTCTGGCTGTAAGGGCTTGGTTGACATTATTTTTGCATTTGATGGCGTGAACGATTTCATAGTGAACATTTTGTGATTTTTGTCTCTTATTTATCTTAACCTACTGACGCCTATGCAAACATGATTTAATTATGATTATTATTTTATGTAACTATGATTTGACCATTTCTCAACTTATCTTTTTGTAATTTTCCATGTCTCCTAGCCTGACTTACCTTGAACTCAACCTTATATCAACCATTTCCACCTTCTTTTCCCTGCCAGTCTCCAAATGCTCCTTTAAATGTAACGACGGTTGGTCAAGCTACTTAAATTCAACTTCTTGTAATACATTAATTCCAAATTGACCAAGTAAAAATATTACAAAGAATCTATAGTTTTTCGAGTCACACCCACATTTCTTCCACCAACATCCTTACACAAAGGTTCATGCACATCCCCATCATTTTTTGGTCTCTAACAAACCGGATAAGAATCTAAATTCCTATTTTTCTGAAGTGCTTGAATTTTTTGACACTCACCTCGTGACCTGCTACGTTCCCCTGCAGTTTTTGTTCGCCTGGGAAATTGGAGTCTACACAGTGGAGCCATGTCAACCCCAGCAGCAATCCTCGCCAAGGCGGTCAACGAACGCAGCGCCATCAAAGCCACCCTTGAATGGCTCGAGAAACAAGTAGCAAACCACGCCACAAAACCCGTTACGGAGATCAAGGCCAAACAGTACCTGGAAACCGTCACCAAAAACCAGGAGAAAGTCGAAGACAGTTTCGAGCGCATTCTTGCCAATTTAGAAGGCGCCGACGTCACACCTCACGCAAAAGAATACACTACACTGCTAGAGATATCCTTCGAAATCAAGAGTGAAATTGGCGAAATCTTGGCCAAATTCGGCACACCAACAACAACTACAACTACACCAAAAACTCCTCCAACCGGAGCAGATGTCAAGTTGCCTCGTCTCAACTTACCTCAATTTGACGGGAAGATTGAGGACTGGGCATCCTTCCGTGATTTGTTCATCACAGCAATCCACAACAACAACAAAATATCGGACTCCCAGAAGCTCACTTATTTGAAGGGCCAGCTGAAGGGAGAAGCATCAAGGCAAGTGCAATCTATCACAATTACCGATGCCAACTACTTGGTGGCCTGGGGACTCCTGGAGGATCGTTATCAAAACGACCGACAACTTCTCTTCGCCCTCCTCCAGCGACTTACTTCACAACACCAACTCACCACCGCGACTTCATCGTCCCTTCGTCAACTCATCGATTGCAGCAAAGAGTGCATGCGGTCACTCGAAGTGCTCACCATGCCAGTAAAGGATTGGGATTCTTTACTCCTCTTCCTTATCCACCAGAAGTTGGACAGTTTAACAATGGAACTGTTCGAACAATCCCTCAAAGACAACGCTATCCCTACGCTCCAGAGTTTGTTCGACTTCTTGGAACAGAGGTCACGGGCGCTGGAGGCAGGCGGAAGTAAGCTGGTGAAGCCAGGACCAGCTAATCATCCCAACAAACACATCCCTCAGCGGAATCACGTTCACCACACCAACTCACCTCATTCTTGCAAGGCGTGTGGCGAAATCGGTCACCCTCTCTACAAGTGTGGCAAGTTCCTCAACATGAGCGTTAAGGATCGAAGCGACTTTGTGAAGAAGGGGGGACTCTGCTTCAACTGTCTACGAAGCGGACATTCCTCAGATAAGTGTTCAAGTACTAGTACCTGCCGGTCATGTGGAGGGAAGCACCATTCCAGTCTACACCGGCCCAAGCAACCTGAATCCACTGCCGCAGCAGCTGCGGATAAGCCACTCACACTTAATCACCATTCTAAGGTCACTAACTGTTTCCCACAGACTCTCCTCGCCACAGCAATCGTCACGGTGTGTGACATTCGTGGTCAACCTCAGCAACTTCGCGTTCTATTGGATGGTGGGTCAGACACTCACATTGTCAGCAGCAAAGCAATCCGACGTCTTGGACTCCCGTGGATCAAGACACGCTCTCGTGACAGGCTTATCAATGACTCCAGTGGGGAGTACTCACGGCGTTTTGGACATGAGCATCAGTCCTCATTTCAACCCATTTAACAAAATTCTTGCTCGAGATGTACGAATAATGGATTCAGTCACATCTCATCTGCCGCGTCACCCATGCAATTCTCGTCTCTCTCATCTCGTCAACTTACCACTAGCGGATGAGACTTGGCATACTCCAGCGGAAGTGGATATGCTAATTGGTGCTACTCTCTCCTATGGAATCCTCAACGGCGACAAACGATATGGAAACCCTGGGGAACCATTCGCCCTTAGCTCAGATTTAGGATGGTTGGTAGTTGGTGATATTAGTTGGCCAACTATAAGCAACCTTTCTCATCATTCTATTGGTCCTAATTTGCAAGAAATTGAGGTACAGGAACGGGTCAAGATTGCAGACGCGAATCTCGACCAACAACTCCGCCGCTTTTGGGAGTTGGAATCGACCGGCTCATCCACTCCACACCCACTCACACGCGAAGAGCGACAATGTGAAGACCATTTCCAAGCCACCACTACTCAACAAGATGATGGGAGATTCGTCGTCACACTTCCCTTCCGCACCACTCCTCCAGACTTGGGCTCATCTCGCGACATGGCCATTCAGCGGCTGAAGCAGATGGAGCGCAGACTTGCTCGTCAACCTGAACAGAAGAAAGAGTACGTCAACTTCATGGCAGAATATGTCAATCTTGGACACATGGAAGAAATCCCACCTGATCAGATTCCTCTTCCAAATTCCTACTACATTCCACACCATTTCGTCACCAAAGAAAGCAGCACCACCACCAAATTTCGTGTGGTCTTCGACGCCTCGGCGAAGACAACTAATGGCAAGTCACTGAACGACAATCTCATGGTTGGTGCCCAAATCCAAGATTCCCTATTCGACATATTGCTCCGCTTTCGTACCCACAAATACGCCTTCACTGCCGACGTGGCAAAAATGTTTCGACAAATCTTGGTGGCCCCACAAGATTGCGACTATCAACGCATTGTGTGGAGAACCGACCCATCTCAGCCTATTAAGGACTACCGTCTTCTCACTGTGACTTACGGAACAGCGCCAGCCCCACATCTTGCAAAAATGTCTCTACAACAATTAGCCCGTAATGAGAAAGAAACCCTACCACTTGCTTCAAGATCTGCTCTTAATGACTTCTACATGGATGATGATATGTCTGGTGCCGATACAGTCCCTGAGGCACTCGAACTTCAACGTCAAACTCTCTGCCTGGTTGCAAAAGCGCAGTGGAAAGTATGCAAATTCTCCTCAAATTGTCCCGAACTCATCAATGCTCTACCCATGGAATTACGTGAAACAAAGTCACTCTTTCCAGTGGAATTCTCTCAAACTGTGAAAACTTTGGGAATATTTTGGCAGCCTGAATCAGACCACTTCCTCTTCAAACTCGATCACGATGCAACTCCCTTCAAAGGCTCCCTCACCAAGCGCGCAATCCTCTCTGAAATTGCCAAAATCTTCGATCCAATCGGCTGGCTCGCCCCGGTGGTTATCCCTGCAAAGATAACCATGCAACTACTATGGAAGTTGAAATCTGGATGGGACGAACCTGTGCCAGCTCAACTTCACCACCAATGGACACAGCACCGCTCCGACCTCAAGCACATCGAATCCCTACAAATTCCTCGCTGTGTCAAACCCACTACAAATTGCAAAATTGCCCTCGTCGGATTCTGCGACGCCTCCGAGAAGGCTTATGCAGCCGTCGTCTACCTATGCATTTACCCCGAAGACTCCTCTCCTCCGCTCGTCTCCATTCTCGCTACAAAAACTCGTGTCGCTCCCACTCGGACCGTGTCCCTCCCTCGCCTCGAGCTGTGTGGTGCAGTACTGCTCTCCCACCTAATGGAGACGGTGCAACAAGCACTCCAGCTACCTCTACACCACATTAGTGCCTGGACAGATTCCATGGTCACTTTAGCCTGGATTCAACAACATCCATCTAAATGGAACCGTTTTGTGGCCAACAGGGTCACCGAGATCCAGGATCGCGTACCTTCGAACCAATGGGGACACGTTCCGGGAGTTGACAATCCTGCGGACTGCGCATCCAGAGGCCTGGACCCTTCTACGTTTATCCATTTCTCACTTTGGTGGAATGGACCCACTTTTCTTCGAAACGGGGTCCCAACTCTGGCTCTGCCTCATCTCGTCATCGACCCCACCATCGACCAAGAAGAGCGGAGAGAAGTCGTCTGTCACAAGATACAAAATCATCCATGGAACAATCTCCTCCAAGAATGTTCGTCACTTGCTTCGTTGACCCGAATTACAGCGTGGATTCTGCGGTTTGCAACCAATGCAAAAATTCCCTTATCCCACAAACAAGAAAGAAATAAGTCCCACCTCACAAGCACAGAGCTTAACAATGCCCTCATCTTCTGGGTGAAAATTGTCCAACAACAATTCCGAGATACGAGCACTACAATCCACCCAGCCAAAATTGGACCCCAAGAGCTCGCTTCTTCCTCTCAACCCATTTTTGGATGAATGTGGCATCCTCAGAGTGGGGGGACGAATTCGTAAAGCTCCTCTCCCTCGTGATCACCGTCACCCAATCCTGCTCCCTCGTAATGGATGGTTCACTCAACTGCTAATTACTCAAGAACATTTGAAATATCTGCACGGTGGACAACAGCTCCTTCTCGCCACAATTCAAACCAAGTTTTGGATCATCCGTGCAAGGGATGCAATCCGTCAACAATTGCGCAAATGTGTCCCATGTACAAGACTACGAGCCTCGTCTCTTCAACAAATGATGGCTGTTCTGCCCGAGTTCCGTGTCACTCCATCTCGACCATTCTCAAAATGTGGAGTCGACTACGCCGGACCCTTCTTCCTGAAACCAATCGCCCCCAGAAGTAAAATGACTATCAAGGCATGGCTCTCAGTTTTTGTATGCTGCGTGACCCGAGCTATACATCTCGAGCTGGTCACATCCCTCTCAACCGACGCATTCTTCGCCGCGTTCCGTCGCTTCGCCTCACGACGTGGCTGCCCCTCTGATGTGTACTCTGATTGTGGTACAAATTTTGTTGGAGCTAACAAAGAGCTCAAGGAATTTGCCACTTTCATCTCAACCAAGGCCTACAACAATGTCGTCTCCAACCAACTCTCACGTGAAGGAGTGCGATGGCACTTCCAACCCCAGCAACCCCTCATTTCGGAGGACTTTGGGAAGCCGGCGTGAAGTCGGTGAAGTATCACCTACGCCGCATCATGGGAACGACTCGCCTCACCTACGAAGAAATGACAACAACAATTTGCCAGATTGAAGCTGTCCTCAACTCTCGACCCTTGACAGCAGAATCATCGGACCCCAACGATTTGTCTGCCCTTACACCCGGTCATTTCCTGGTTGGTGCTCCTCTAATTTCCCCACCGGAAGAAGACACCGCCGAGCTAAACTCTGGAAGACTTTCCCGTTGGCAACTAGTGCAACAAATGCACCAAACTTTTTGGAAACGTTGGTCCAAAGAGTATATTACTCGCCTCCAACAAAGGCCAAAGTGGATGGCTACCAAATCCCAAATCAAGTTGGATGACCTCGTGGTCATCAAGGACGAACGCCTCCCTCCTCTCGTCTGGAAATTGGGACGCGTCCAAGAACTGCACCCTGGCGACGATGGCCTCATTCGTGTCGTCACTCTCCGCACTCAAGCTGGACTCATCCGCCGCCCTATCGCCAAACTCTGCCTTCTTCCCACTCAAGACAATGATAGTGATTCAGTGTAGTGTTGATGTGACCTTGCCACATCAAAGTGGGGGGAATGAACGATTTCATAGTGAACATTTTGTGATTTTTGTCTCTTATTTATCTTAACCTACTGACGCCTATGCAAACATGATTTAATTATGATTATTATTTTATGTAACTATGATTTGACCATTTCTCAACTTATCTTTTTGTAATTTTCCAAGTTGTATAAGCCTCATTTACCTAATTCAATTAACTAATCTGTCTCCTAGCCTGACTTACCTTGAACTCAACCTTATATCAACCATTTCCAAGTAAAAATATTACAAAGAATCTATAGTTTTTCGAGTCACACCCACATTTCTTCCACCAACATCCTTACACAAAGGTTCATGCACATCCCCATCATGGCGTCTTACTTTGCATGCCCGTTCTTGCTTTGCGACACAAGAAATTAAGCAATTCTGCAAAAAGAGAAAGCATGCATGCATATCTATTTACATATACGTAAATACTTCGTCGGGACACATGCGTAACAAATTTACTTTTGTCCTTAATTATTTGATATGCAAAATCACCTAACGGTCATTTTTTGTCGTTTATTTCAAGTTGTATAGTACGAGAGTAGTGATAAGCAATCCCTAACAGCCGAACAAGTCGACCAAACTATGTATTTATAAGCACAACTCCAGTACTTATATTATTTGTGCCTTCATACTGATGGAGCAGTAAACAATACTTTGCTGATTACCTAGTTGCACCAATAACCATAAAAAAATGACTAATTTATTGCATCATGGAACTTGTTATCGAAAAATAAATGTGTGCGACTGTACACGAATTATTAAGTTTAAACACGAAACAATTTAATGCAAATTCCTTCTTGTAGGACAAACTGTTCAAATTTTAGACAAATTAAGCTCGTTAGCAGCAATTCTCGCGAAATTAACAATCTGACGCGCCATGGTTGGATAAGCAAATGGTATAAATAAGGAACGAAATCGTATATGTACCAAACGTTCAAACTACTCCAGCCATCCAAACAAAATTACACCCACCCCGGTTTAACAATAATCATTAGCGAGGGCAAGGAAATTATTACTAGAATCAAAAACACACTCGAAATTTTGAAAAAATGGGGTCATCAAACAGGTTTCAGTTGCTGGTGTTGGTTTTCTTGGTTACGCAGTTCTCCGGTAATGGCGCTGCCATCCATGCTTCGAAACGCGCGCAGGAGTTCTCTATCGAGCCACGCGGCATTGGTCGTTCCAAGCCGGACGCTTGTTTTAATGCTGGTAAAGTTCAGTTTTTCCTGCATCAAAAACACTACTTTCATACATATTTTGTGAGTTTAGAAGCTCTAAACTAATATAAAAATATATTGGATTTAACCAGTTGAGACGGCAGAATTTAAAGAGATGAAAGTAACCGCATGCACTCGACAACCCTATTTTAATTAGAAAATGTAAAATACTAAATATTGCAAAAACAGTACATTGAATTTCATAATTTTCCAGAAATTTGGTCATTTCGAAGTAATTTTTAATGATTCGAAACGAGGAATTTTTCACGTAAAACGTTGCCTAGATGCAGTAATTAGAAACTGAGGGATTAACTTCAGGATTTTGTTCTAAAATTGAGTGGAAATTGAGTGGATTTGTCTGAATGCAACGATAATCTAAATATTAGCACCGAAATCTCCCTCAGTATTGTGTGAATAATTTAATTTTGCACAAGCACAAGATACATACTATCTATGTACATTGATGAAATTGTGCTAGTCTGATTACGAACTGTGTAAATGTAATCTTTTAAAATCATAACTCCGAGAATATTTAGATTTTGTTTTCGACTAGTTTTTGCTTCGTTTATCTATGAATTACCAAATAATTTGTTAGAAACTATTATTGGCTATAATGTTAATTTTTAGTTATGTAGCATCAATTGATGCAAAAAAATTAGTGAACACACAGACGGACATGAGGAATTCAATAGTTCTCATGTTACGCAGGGTGAGCTAATAAACAGCCCGACAACGTACTTATACATACATACAATTGATTAAAATTTAAAATCAATGCGAACAGTATGCATTTACTTACAATATACACACTATTACACGCAGACACAGACAGAATGTGTCCATACCTAACTGTGTATCATATCTAACTTCGAGAATGTTCTCACGCAGATAAGACTTATCAGAAGTCGAGTAAATGTAATTTCTGCCATACATTTAGCAACCAGTTGCATAAACTATTCAGCGATCGAGCATAACTCACAATTCGGTAGATAATTTCAAATCCATTCTTCACAAAAAGGTACATAAATTTTTACCAAATATCTGCTAATTTTAAAAAAACGTAATTTGAACTGCAATTTCTTGTTCTTCAGCGTACAACTCAACCATCATGGATATTTCATCAATAACTGATTTTGAGACCAACTTAAACACCTGCGCAGACATGTTAAGGTTAAAAAATCGCTTGATCAAATTGGATTCAATTATCATGCCACAATGGTCGGAATTAAAAACTTTCAAAGCCTTATTAACAAATTAATTGAATTAGAAGTACACAAACGACCTACAAAAATATCCGATTTCGTTCATACCTACGTTCTAATCCCCTTCTTATCAAAATTAACAACTGCACTGAACAAAAAAGAAGATAATAAATGCGTCAATATAACTGACAATTCTTTGTTGAGAGACACAATCTTGCCAGTGTGCGAGTTCCTTGCCGAAAATCAAAATGAGGACACCGTCCAAGAATTGGTCTCGGTTTTGACAGCTTTGCACAATTTTGGACGCAACTTCTCCTGGCAGCAATTAGAAAATATCACGATCCGAATTATAGTGTGGCAGAAGGTCAAATCTTGCTCGCATTTCCCCCAGGAATTTAAAATGTGCAAGTGTAATGATGAAAAGAAGGATAACTGCAAACTAAAGTTTTCCGACATCAAGTTAAAACACTGCACGACAAGTGACACCTTACGAAACATGCTAAAGGTTCAAGACTGGAGAATCGACTTTATTGGGAAACGAGCGACCCCAACAGAAAAAAAGGCCGACATCACTTCATTAGGCCTAATCTATTTCGGCGTTGATACAACCTCAGAAACTGCAAATGTGGAGAATAAATTTGTAAAAAAACCGTTACGGAGCAGTCACAATTTCCTTCATGTTTAAAGATGTCGCTCAGGAAAGTAAAGTAGTTGTGAATCTTGGAACTAAAAAATATTGGTATGAATATTCTCAGCAAAAATTGATACCTATATGCCACAATTATACCTATCCCGATTGGTGGCTCCTTGACGAGAAAGAAAAAACAACATTTGTTCTTCTCAAGCTTGAGAGACAAGAAGAGACACAGTGGGACATATCATATTATAAAACTTGTTGTGCCTGGACACATCCAGAAATCGTAATCCCTGGAAATTTAAAGGTTGAACGGAAGAAGGTGAAAATATTGTTTGAAAATGACCATGACTGCATCGACACAGGCGATGGTCGTCGAGAGAAGTGTATAGAATGCAAAATTAGAGAGAATGGAGGCCGGTGCAGGGGAAAAGTTAAGGATAAGGATTGGAGAGATTTTACCTTTTCTGACAACAGCACTGCAGATTTATCCATACAAATGCTTGCTCATGGCTGGCCAATTGCTGAAAGAGAACTGTTAAAAAAATGTCAAGATAGCGACAAAATGTTTGCGGCGTCGCAGTTCGAGAAAATTGAAGCCTACTGGATGAAGGAGTGCAGTGATTTTGAAATATTAGAGTGGAAAGTTGGCCATGTTGGGGAAGGAGAGGTACACAATTTTGAGTTTTTAGTAAAGACTAAAATTTATGTCATGAAATCGTGAAAATACTAATACATTGTTGTCACGAATTATGTATTAGCAGGTCGGGTGCAGCTCGGTCAAAAAAAGGAGGGGGGACTAACCTTAATAGAAGACTTACCGTTAAATTGTTGGAATTCAGTCGGCTTAGCCGATAGGAGCAGCGTTTAAATATTTTACAACTTGTTCAGCTCCTAGACTTTTCTTGGATCATTTCAATATTACATTTCCTCTCTTGCGACGTACTGGAGTACTGTATTTACAGTGATATCCCTCGGTCTAGAATCCATTAATAAGATTTTTATGTATTAATATTTGTTGCTAACATAATTTATAAATATGTAAATAAAAATGTGCAATTAGTGACTTACCGTAACCTTTATAACCTATAGGCTATAAATAGTGTAGTTACGGTAATGCATGTATATGGATAACACATTATTAAATATGCGCTGCACAAAAAATTCATAATGTTATGAAAATCGTCAATTTTTGAAACTTCGAGTTGACCATGATTCGTATAATTCCGGTGTGCCTACTTCGCTACGAAATCAACTTTAAGGGTAGCCAATTAGTTATCTTTAATAATTTTAAAACATTACATTAAAAAATTTTAGATACAATCAGATGGGGACGATTTTATGATATTAAATCAAATAAATAAATAAAATTAATTAAATATAGCAATCTGATCCTTAATAAAATTAAAGACTTCTTATTTTCGTGTTGAAATTTGCGTTTAGTGTTGCACTCACAATAAATAAGTGCATTGGGGAGATACATACATACATGTAATTTAAAATTCATTCACCATGCATAATATTCCATTTTTATTCTAAAGCAAAATCCGCAATGTGAATCCCTTAATTTCTAATGACTGCCTCGAAACAACGATTGATGTGAAATATTTCTGCCGAATCGTATAGAATCACTTGGAAATAAACCGTCGCAAACATACGGAAGTAGCTTCAGACTCACTTCACCCCAACCACTCCCATGACATCGCCGGAACACTTAATTTTACTCTATTTCACCTATAGATTCAATTTTTGTAAAAATCTCATTTTGTTCCGACCACACCCCCTGGCGACGAGGGGGTGTGGAACAACTCGGGAACACTTAATTTCACTCTATTTCATCTATAGATTAATTTTTTATAAAAATCTCATTTTGTCCCAACCACACCCCTGGCTCCTAGGGGGTGTGGCACAACTCCGGAACACATAATTTTACCCTATTTCACCTATAGATTAAATTGCACTAAAAATCTCATTTTGCCCCGACCACACCCCCTGTCGCCAAAGGGGGTGTGGTCCGGTTGCCCCCAAAAGTTGATAGGATCCTCCCCCTGGGGTCCTATGTCTGATGGCGAAAACCGATTTCGATTATCTCGATCCGTTCTCCTGATATCCTGCTGACAGACAGACGGACAGACAGACAGACAGACAGACAGACAGACAAAGTCTTCACATAAAGTAGCTGAAGCTACTTAATAATGGGTGCTACTTGTGGATAATGCCCACAACTAAATACATAGTTTACCAGATTAACTGATTTGTATATCATAAGATGAAATCATGTATGTATATATTGAATGTAATTTTGTATGAAATGAATGAGATGATTGGAAAGGCTGACGCCATATCAATCTTGAAATAAATACCTACCTAATTATTCATTAGTTATCCGTTTGATTTTAAATTCGCTTTATTAGATGGATTTCTCAATACACCCCATGTTTTAGGCATAGCTTGGAAAATGAGCAATGAATAAAATTTGTCATTCATTCTTTGTGAATTTGAAATGAGTAGATATTTTTCCATATTTACTCATTCAAAAATTTTGAAAAAATATTCACTCATTATTCATGGATATATTCGTAGACACTATTTAATAATAAACGAATAATTTCTTCCTTCTTTTAAAAATGAATAAATATGAACATTAAAATATGTTAGGCCACCCACCCTTCCAAGGTAAGCAAGGGAATGGACCGAATCTTCGAACGAAGCCAAATCACGAACCCGGATGACTTGGAACTTCGTATCCTTCAAGGCGGATATTTTTGGATACCCACCAGAAAACCAATGTCTAAGGACTGGTGATGATTTTTAAACGAATACACCTTAAGTCCGGCCTGATTAATAACTCTCCCCTGAAAGTAAAAATGATCTCGCTGGAAGATATTTTTAGACTGATGGTGATTTTTATTAAACAACTTGGTTTTAAGGTTTTGACAGTACATAGGAGACATTCATACATATGTAATAATATGTGGTCAGAAGTGACCATACAAACTACGCAGAGTTATGCTCAAACGAAGTGTCCCTTCTAATGAGGCATAAAAACAAAAGGACCCTTTTAATCCCTTGTCCTGGGAAAAAGGTTGGAAAATGCTCAGCCCTCATAAAAGTCGACAAACTTAAAAATTGATAAATATGGAAAACTTTGTTAACATGCATATTTTAACATCCCCAAATTAGGTGCCACATCCGGTTTTACCCCACCCAGTAAAACCGCGTAGAATAAATCGATGTATGTGTTTGATAAAATGACCATCATTAAGGACCACGTGGCAATTAAAATCCCTCCTACATTTCGCTTCACTTGGGATTCAAATCTGTTGTTACTTTGTTCCAGGAAGATTCCGATCGCCCAAAATAAGCTGGTGCCAAAATACGACCACCCTTTTTGAAATGAGTAACATAAAATGAATGATATCAAAATCGCCGCCAAGAAAAACGCGGTCCACACAAAATTGTCGAAAAGTTTGAGAAATATCAGATTTAAAACGAGCGCGGATTTATTAACGAAAACGGCGTACTCCAGGGCATTGCGGGATTCTGCGTAGGGGTAATTAATAAAACGCGGCGGGAGTCCAAATTTTGGACTCCCAGGCGGTTGCCTAGCTCGCCTAGCTCGCTCGACTAAAACGGGGCCTGGTCCAAAATCGTTCAAGTTTACAAGTTTGATGAAACTAAGAATATTTTGGTTACTAATTTGTTCTGTAAATTGGACAGTAACATTAGTTTTTAGCGTGAATCCGAGATGAAGACACACTTCCGGTGAGGGTTACGAATAAGTGCGGAATGTCATGGTACGTCTCTGCCGAATCGGAGAATATCGGGTTAAACGCGGAATTCAAATTGCCCGCCCCGGAAAAGTAAAACTTGGCGGGGATCCCGTTATAAGAAGGGATTGAAGCGGGAACAATTTTTAACTCGTAACCTATATAAAATTACGGCATCCGTTTCCTTGACATACTTCAATCCATTGAAGTTCTTTTAAAATTTGCAAGGTTTGCAAAGTATGGCTAGAATCGGTACTAATTTTCAGCAAAAATTGATAAATATGGAAAACTTTGTTAACATGCATATTTTAACATCCTCCCTCAATTTTTAAAGTTCAATATCGGCAGTTTCCACTGGATTTGCCCTAACCGAAATTACATTTGGCCGGCTTTTCAGAAAAAGGAAAACACAAAGAGTGGCTTGAGCAACTATTATTAATATGCAAAGGGTTAAGATCCATTCCATTGTTGACCAGGCTGGTTCATTGCTTGTGTGGTAGTGGATTGACCCTCCTTCGTCAGTGGAACCATTGATCATCAGACTGGTCCAGTTGAAACTAGGCTGCAAGTGCCAGTTGGCTTTCATCGTGGATAGTGGGTCGACTACCTCTTGGTGAACAAGGCTGGATTCAGTTCCTGAAAATTCAATATCATTTATTTTAAAATTAGCATTCATTGGAAGGATGAACACGCTAGCAGGGCATTGTTGCAGCTTCCTCTCAATGGTAATATTGGACCCAGGGCAGTAGATATGATATTGTCCATGGTGTAGTTTGATTTGTACAAAATCCCATGGTTCAGCAAGGTTCTTGTCATAACAGTGGTCTATGTCAAAGTGATTGGAGTTCTTTGTTTTCGCTGTTGGCGCGCATCCTCGAGTGGGCGAAACAATTAAGTCGGGGGTTGTAGGCTCCTTAACATTAATGGAGTATACGCAGTCATCTTTCGTAGAAAGGATGGCATTATGGGGTCCCTTGTACTTTAGAACGCAGGTTTCATTCTTCCTTTCAACTTTGAGATCGAAGGAGTCTGCCTCGATGAGTTGCAAATCTTTGTTAATTTCAGTTGCTGTGAAGTCCACATACAGCTTGGTTCTGTCATCTGATATTTCGCACTTTTGAGATTGTGCGAAGCTGACTGGGCAAGCATCACCACAGGGTAACGTGAAATTAAAGAAATCCATTAGTGGTGCGTAAACTTTTCCTCGCCGCCACTGTCTTGTTGCTTCTCTAATTATTTCTCTACCTATCATGAGGCGACTGGTAAGGTAGGCAATTGCGAAATTGGTGTCAATGGATTTTCCCTTGAGTTCGTCGTGATCAAGCTGATGTAGCTGAAGCTGTTCTAGTGTAGCATTTAGGCTACACTAAGCTTCTCAATCTCTCTTTCCGATATTTCCACGCGACGTTCCAATTCATCCAGCATCTCTCTATGTTCCGCTACTGTTCCTTGCAAAGCAGAGATTCTTCCAGTTTGAACAAACGAATTGATTGCTCCACCAACTGATAAGCCGGCTACAAGGACAGTCACACCAATTATTACTCCAACTGCAAGTAATGGGAGGACTCTCTTCACTCTTCGTCCAATCTCTCTGGTATGTCGCGAATTAATATGATCGGAGAATTTTCTTTTAGGGCACATTTTTTCTAGCTCATCCAGGAACATTTCGTCGTATATTTTGTTACATTTCTCGGTTGCATAGGCACTTAAATCCTTATGGAGTAGATCCTGTGTTAAAATTTCGCACGGGTTCATGAATTTGACGAGCAAGTGGACTTGGTTATATCCCGTTGTAACTGGGATTGGACTCTTTTTCCATAGTAAAGGGATCGCATTCTGATGTGTCACCCCACAAGCTTGCGTAATAAACATAAGAAGGATGGTGAGAAGGCTCATCAGTGAGAAGTTGGCTTGGAGGGGACCTCTCTTTACTTTAGTTGGGTTGTCCTTGCTCTCCTTTGTCTCATTTCTTTCCATACTGAGATCGTATCTCATCTTGAAATGCTGGGTCTTCAGTAGTGGCTTAGTTAATCCATCTGCAATTTGTTCACTGGTATGTACATATTCAATTGCCAACTGTCCTGTACTAACTAGCTCTCTTGTGTAGTGGTACCGGACATCGATGTGCTTGGATCTTGAGTGCATCTCTGGATTTTTGACCAATTTTATTGCACTCTGGTTGTCAACATGAATTATTGTTGGGGACTCTTGTGGGAATCCTAATTCTTCTAGAAATCGTCGTAACCAAACGGCTTCACGCGCTCCAGAAGCGAGAGATATATATTCACTTTCCATTGATGACATTGAGACAATGGGTTGCTTTTGGCTTGACCATGAAATAACGCTGTCATTTAGCATGAAGACAAAACCTGTTGTAGATTTTCTATCCATCTTGTCGGAAGCATAATCTGCATCTGTATATCCCCTGAGAATCATATCCTCACACGGTTTGTATTTGATTCCGAGTTCCTCGGTGCCTTTTAAATAGCGGAGGACTTGCTTTGCAGCTTTCCAGTGAGTTTCGTCGTATGCGTGCATAAACTGAGACAGGCGGGACACTGCATATGAGATGTCAGGGCGTGTGCACTTGGCTAGGTAAATTAATGATCCAACGCGCTGTCGATA